TTGAAAAAAAACTTCAAAAATTATTTTTAAGAAGTTATCACTGGCAGTTGTAGTGTTTCGTGAAAATTATAAAACTTTTACATTTTCATACATCTATTGTAAGTTATATTTATTTTAAGAAACTTTTTATTCACCAATAATAAGGTGACCATACGTCCCGGCTTTTTCTAAAAGCAATATTTGTTTGTGTCCCGGTTTTAGGTGTTTTGTCCCGGATTGTCCCGGATTTTTAAAAATGTTTTTATTACCAATATTTTTTAAAATATATTTCAACTATAAAATTTCAACCGAAAAAATGTACATATAAATTTTTAGCTCATCAACGTATTTATAATTCACACGTATTTATAATTCGTCCCGGATTACATGCGAAAAAATATGGACACCTTGCTAATAATGACGTACAATTTTACATATGAATTCATATATAGATATAATAAGTTCATAATAGAATAAGTTCTATAGCTCAAATTCATATAGAATAAGTATAATATTGTTTAAATAATTTTATATAGAGCTAAAGTGATTTAGTAATAAAATATCAATACAATGTTTTGTAGCCCCTTATATTTTATATAAATTCGTTCTTTACTTAGTAACTTTCATATGAGAGCCTTAAACGCAATAAGTGCTTTATTAATATGAGATGTGATAATATGCAATCTGAAAATTGTTGTGTATGCAAATCTCAATACTTATTAATTGTTTATGAATATTTGGCGTATATATGCCAAGCATGTTGAAACTTGAATTCAAATAATAAGGACTTTCTGGTCTGGTTTTATCACCCATTTTAGTTGAATGCTACTCCACAATAATATTGATTTAATACTGCTAATGCTCCGTTTGTTTCGATCTATTTTCAGGTTAAAAGACGAAAAAAGAAACCTCCGCCTCCAGATGACAAACCAGACTTTGCCTCAGTACCAGGCGTAGTAATACTTCCCATATCAGATTACACTCAGCGCACAATGGGCATCGTAGTCGGGGATGATGTTACTATAGAACAACCTTGGAAACGAATAAATCGAAAAGCAGCCTTGGAAAATATAGAAATCTATCAAACCAATTCTGAATTTTACCAAATAGCCGATGAATTGAATGAAATGGAAGCAGAGGACTTTTTAATGGGTATTTGACCAAAACAGAATAATTTATCACAAATCTTCGTATTTTTATATGCAGTAAAATTCAAACAAACTTAATTTTTTTTCCAAATATTACCCATTAGACATTTATTTTTTGTTATCTTAATTTGCAGAATGTCAGTAAAATATCATACTAGCATCCATTTCCTTTACTCGCTATTAGTTAAAAACTTATTTGAGCAGGCAATTATTGTCTTCTTGCAGAGATGAAATACTGAAAGACTACTTTCCGAATATATCGGCAATAATGTGTTTGAGTATCTTAAATTTGTGATGCATATACAGATCCTCAGATTCACGCGCCAAATATAGTTTAGTATAGAAAATTTCCCATGATAAAATTTGTTGGACATACTTTATTTGGCAAAATTGTTAAATATTGTGTGTCGCGCACATGACAATGCGGAGAACAATTTTTTTTGTGAAATACTGTAGTATAGAAAAAATAATGAGTAAAATTCTTAAACGTAACCCAAATCAACAATTTGTACTATGTCAATCATATATATGTTCTCTTTATACTGAAAAAAAAGACTAAAAAATAAGCTTCAAGTCAAGTATTCTGATATGGATGATTAAATTTTATTACTAGGTTATACGCTGGATGACTCAAAATCACCACTTGAATTTTATGTCACATCGACTGCTGAAGCAACGCAGGCCGTTCAAGATCTGATAGATCGCATGTTGGCATATCGTGCCAAAAAACTTGCAAATGCTCTTAATAAGACAATTATGCAATGGATATCTTGCGGCAGTGAAATTGAAGTAAACGATGCAATCGCTCGCAACACAAGAGCTCTTTTGGAAGTAGAGATTGAATCTGTGTTTCCGATGGAATTGGAGACAACATCGTTTGATGACAGAAAACCGCAAGATTGTAGAGATGGCTATATGAAACTGGAACCGCCAGGGTAAGAAGTGTTTCAGTGATATTCTTTTTATTAGTTACAGACTTCTTATTATATTAAATATATTTACCTTTGAAAACCTCGTACGTGAAAGTCTAATTTTTAAATTACGTGTCAAAGTGAAATTAAAGCGCTATTTACATATTTTTTAAAAATGGAAATTGCCATATGCATAAATTTTGAATATTAATTCAAGCAGAAAACTATTAAAATATTAATAAATCTCTATGCATAGATCACATATTAACAGGTAAAATAAAATGAACGTAATTCGATAACGAAATTAACATTTCTAAATTATTTATTTGAATCAAATATGAGTAATATAAAAAATCATTATCCACGGTATTCATGGTTCTTGATATATATATATATATTATATATATATATATATCATTAATCTATATATTAATTAACATTATCTATAACTATATATCATATCAATATATCATTAACATATCATTATATCATTAACAATATCTATACATTAATCTATATATTAATATATATTATATATAGATCATTAATCGCGAAATCTTCGTAATTTTTTTATTTCAGTTCTTGACGAATTGTTTTAAGTTTCAGAATAATGTGTGAATAATAATAAGCTTTAATTCAGATAGTCTTTGGGAGCCAGCTTTATTATTATTTAGCTAATTCTATCTTATTACCGCGAACATGCTTACGAAAAATTGGAACCATCATACTTCATGATATATAAACTAAAATTACAGTTACAATTACATGTTAATTTCTGAATTAGGCCAACGATGAATAATATACAAAGAAAGCGCGTGGACAATTTTGCTCAATGTGGAAATACAAAAAGACACCAGAGTGCGCAGACCTATTGTCCTTATCCAAAGAACAAGTGCTTACAATACGAATACGACTGCACCGAGGATATGAAATTGGCCCAGGAAAATGCAGGCGAACGGCTGGCCACATTTCTTCAACAATTTGAACCAATTATGATAAACAATATACGTTATAATGAAGTCATTAATATATACTTCAATGATTATCCGGAGCTACGAGAAAAGGTGGGCATAAATGCAAGATATAATTATTATTTGAAGACTATATAATACAGTAACAATGACTATAGAATATTATATTTCAAGATTTAAGCAAATTTGAAGAGATCAAATGGCTCGGCCCAAATTTTTAGACAGTAAAATTAAGCAATATATGCTATATATGTAATACAGTTGATTATAACTTGAAAACATAAATTATTAAATATAAGCGAAAGATAGCAAGATATATGATATTAGTTTTATTTGAATTATTTATATAATAAAGTAAAACTTAATGTATCTTCTTAAACAATAAGCAATTTTAATAATATGAGTCAAATGTCGTGCAAAGGCATCTCAAGCTTTATATTATAATTATCTCAAAAAACCATAAATGATAGAAAATTTATAAAAGCATATAAATTTGAGCCTGACATATATAACAAATTATAATAGATTTAAATAATATTCAGAGATTAGTAAGTGCAGTAAAGTAATATATAAATTACAAAAAAAAATATTATAAAAATAATAAAACTTTGTCATGACATTTTTAGGCTGTTAAGCAAGATAAAATAATTACAGGGGACAGTATGGTATTGCAAGAATATCAATGCTTTACAGATATCAGAATATGCAAAAATAAATTGGTTTCCTGTTCAGCCTGGCATCCTTTATGGACAGGAATAGTGGCAGTAGCTTATGTAAACGAAGTAAGTGAAGATTTGTGATCGATTGCTTTTGTATAATAAAGAAATTCGATTACCACATAATGAAAATACAAATATATAAGCCTTCAGTAACGATAATTTTATCTGCAAAATTTAACATGAAAGAACTATACGTGTACAACCACGTAGATTTAGGGAATCGATGCAGCCCTTCAAAAAATGTATAATAATATAATGAGAGATTGAAAGTTCTACATAATTGTAATTTTTGTTCATCTTTACGACGAAGTGAATATATATATATATATATATATATATATATATACGCTTAAAAATATACGTTTAATTATAATAGTCAAAATATTGGAACGAGCATTAACACAATGTAAATGTATAAAGCGCAACAGGCAGAATTATCTTATAAAAATTATTAAAATTATCTTAACTTTATCTTTAGCCAGCGTGTAGCACAAGCCGATCCAGAAAGGAAGGCGACGCTGTGAATAGAGCCGTACACGAACTCAACCCTGTGCTCGTATGGAGTTTCGATGAGGGATTGAAACACAAATTGTGGTTGGAAAATTATAGAGAAGTTACAGCACTATCATTTTGTCCCTTTGATGAGAATATCATAGTTGGTGGATGTTCCAGTGGGCAGATCATGATATGGGACTTAAATCATAGGTTCCAGAAGGTATTTCAATATGAATATCTCATGTCCAAATGCATATGTTAACACCACAAACGAGACTGTGTGAATGAAATTTATGTAATTTGCTTATATCGTTTAAAGCTCCGTGTATCTGTATTCGCGTTTTCGTAACTATTTTGCTTGATTTTACAATAGGATAGCCAATTTACAAATTGGAATTTATCGATAGCAACTTGCCTGTAGGCCACACCGTGCGGAATTCGAACTTGCAATATATAAGAAAAAATCTTTGAGACCTTTCTAACGATGTATAATACTTTATATGTTTTCCTTACAGAAATATCTAAACCGTAAGATTCTTAGATCACTAGGACCACTAGATGGACCACCCGTTATTTGATATTCATAAACGTATCTTGCAAAACATCGAATAATTAGCTCTTGCTCTTTTTTCATTATTAAAAAGTCACAAAATAAAATTATTTATTTGATTTTTTTTTATCTATTTATATTTTCTTTCTTTTACGACCATTCTTGATCTAATTTTAACCTGAATTTATTACGTTACGCTGATTCACTCACATCTTTTTAACCTTTCCAAGAACTTTTTTAATATCAATGTAAATCCAAAATTTTTTATAGCGGATTTTTTATGTTTTGTTTATTCTACTCATTAAAAACATTCTACTGTATTATTATATTTATTATCCTTCATAAACAAATTCAAGAGAAGTTCAATACCAATATTTAGGTGGAGGAAGATGAGGTGTTGACCGTTGCTCAGGCTAAATATCGTGTACTAATGTTTAGTTTCATGGAATGGATGAAAAATGTAAAAAATGACGCTTCAGTGAGAGCTGCTGCAGGATCAGCTTTAGAACATTCACACCATTCTTTGGTACACACAATTCATTGGCTATCACCACATTTCGAATGTTCAAAAACTGGACAGATTCATTTGATACCACCAGAAGACGGTAAAGTAATTTAAGGAGATTGTATTTAAAAATAATAGTGCTCTTTCTGTCAACACATCGATAACTTTCACATCTTTTTCATTCACCATAGTAGTCGATTTTGGCTCTCTACAGACAAAAATGTTTGATATTTATTAACTAAATTTACTACTTTAAATTCATTAAATATTTTAAATATATTTTTCGAATGTGTTTTCAGGTAGGACTTCTAAACAATTCATAACTGCTGCTGATGATGGTTCTATACTGGTATGGGATTTAACAGTAAAACTAACAAGAAGTCAGGTTGCTTCCCAAAAACCCAGCAGGCTGCCAGAAAGACCAGCAGGTAAATATTGTTATCTTTAATTTATAAACTTCAAACTTCGAAATAAATGAATTTTTCATCAATTTCAAGTATTCGTATGCCGTTTCAAGTATCAATCTGCTTATGGATTTTATTTATCCATTATTTGCTTGTAACACAAAGTTTGAAAAATTTGTCATTTGAAAGAACTATGCTAAGTTATTTTTATTGCATACTATGGGATGGAATATTATAGAATCGTAACATTCATCAGGTTTAACATCGGACGTATCGCCTTACAAAGCCCTCGACCGAGTTTGGAAGCCATATTACCGAATATTGGTTAAAAAACCTAACCATGAGCGTTTAAAGCTGGCAGTGACAGCGGTAAGTTTGGAAAAGGCGCCGGTAAAATATGAACAAGTTTCTCTGACACCTGCTGTCTACAAGATAAGCAACAGGATAAAATATCGACCAATCACAGAAGTTCCACAAATGGTTGAACAGGAATTTGTTGCAGGTAAAAAAAATCTAAGATCATAATTTGTGTATATAAAACAAACTTGTTAGATCAATATTTATAAAACGATTGAAAACCTGACATGAACAACTTATGACATTATGTATTAACTACATTCGTTCTAGACTTTTCAATCTAATCAACTTGCAAAGATTTTTACTGGCTCGAATTTTTATTACAGGAACATGTGAAGGTGATTTTCTAACCGGCTCGTGGGAGGGTTTTGAATATAATCAAGGACAGCTGATTAATACGGAACCTTTTACCTTGCATTCCAGGGGATACATCCATGACGGTCCTGTTACATTTTTGGACCGTCATCCATTCATAGAAAAACTTCACATGACTGTAGGCGGGAAGATATTCGCCATTTGGGACGAAAAATATTTGAATCGACCATTAATGTGGCGCAAATTGGAAGTGAAGTTGACTTGTTGCCTTTGGTCTCGTTATCAATCAAATATTTTTTACCTGACAAGAGACGATGGGACAGTTGAAATTTGGGACTTTTTATATAGAAGTAATTGTGCAGCTACTTCACAAAGCTTGAGTGGTAAAATTCTGTCAAATATTGGCGTTCATACTTTGCCTCTGGAACGAAATATCATTGGCATTGGAGATTATAATGGATCTTTCAGGTAGAAGTTAAAAGAAAAGGATTAATTATTATAAGAACAATGTAATATGAATTTTGCTAATAACATTTATTCATACCGATTTGCAAGCAATTTATGTTAGGATACATTCCTTATGCTACTAATTTATCTTTTTGCAAGTGTACATTTTTCTAACAAATAATTTTGTTTATTGCGTCATCAATTGACAAATGAGGATTTATTAATTTTAAATTTTATACGATATTGAAAGAACATATTATACTTTTATAGTATCAATACTGTAAAATTTATAGTAACAATGTAAACTGAGGATATATACAATGATAATTAAATATTGAATTTGTAATTTTCGCGTCAACTTAAGATTTCTAACCTGGAAGTATTTTAATACGTTGATTCTGTAATAATCGACAACTAAAATTAAAATATGGTTATTATAAAACGAATGCCTTCTTTAGGTGTTTTTATGTTCCGCCAGCTTTCCAAAAAACAGATGAAGCCGATCAGGCCCGTATGCGCGAATTTTTCACACACGAGAAAGCGCGCAAATTAGTATTACATGCTTGGCAAGATCAATGGTGTAAGAGCAATGTAGAACTAAGGGAACGCAAACGGGCCCAAGAAATCGAAGAACAGAAGCAAAGGGAGAGACAACAGGCCGAAGAACGCAGGAAGCAGGAGGAAAAGTTGCGAGCACTTGAAGAGGAGAGGAGGAAAATGGCAGCAAAAGAAAGTTAGTACATCGCAATCGCATCCAATAAAATTTAGTTCGGCCATAATTCATTCACGATTAAAAAAGTAAAAAAGTGGCCATAGACAGGGGATATCGTGCACATAACGAAATTATTTAAAATGCTATTAGTAGATAATAATTATACAACAAACTAATAGTGCATGGCATAGTACCTTATGGCAAATTACTGGTAATTCCCGTACCGAAAATTGAATTTTTCAAAACAGCTTTAAATTTTTTTGAAAACTTAAAAAAAAATCCATTTTTGAGAATTTTGAAAAATTGAATTTTTTGAAAAAAAAAAGACTTGATAAATTTGTTTTTCTTATTCGTTTTTTTTTTGAATTTGACTTTTTCAAAGCAATCGCGCTTCTTAACCGTTTTAATTTTTTTTTTTTTAAACTCGTTTTATTTAGCAATCAGAAATACATAAAGATTCCTATGAGCTAAAATGACAATGTTTTAAGAGCTATGCCTAAGAAGAGCTCCAATGAGATCTTCTCAGTTTAACAATTACTATAATAATATTATATTAGACCTAATCTAAGACTATGTCTAAAGGCCACTGTCGTTTCAATCTCCTTGTACCATAAGGTTTAGTAATTTCAACTATAGAAGGATTCGAATGTGAGTACAGTTTGCGTTTGTATTTTTCCTTGAATTCTTGGAACGTTAAATGCACCGTTTTCATGTTGAGGTCGCTGTGAATGGTTTTAGAAATGAAATATCAAAGCGCGTAAGCGCCGCCTCGCTGTCAAAAGGGCAAACATTGAGACAGAACCCACAGAAATATGAACAAAACTTATACTTAATATTAACATGCCTATAAAATATCAGATAATTTGATGTGTATATGTCTAATGATCATTTTTGACCGCCAAATTTTCTTACATTTTTATAAGACCTCCAAAACCGCTAAACATGCCTTTCCAAAAATGTGATCAGTTTTTCATTTCGTCAATACAAATAAAACGTTTTTTGAATTATTCAACGCTCCGTTCTCTCAAAAATTTAATTACTATATTTAACACTTTTTGCCCCGTATCTTTGGAACGGCTGCACCTTTGCGAAAACCCTACGGAAATTAAAAATAATCACTATGAATATAAACAGATCAACAAAAATGTGATTAGAGTAATATAAATTTTTATTATCTATTTGAGATGCAATAATGGAATGAGAATATGTATAGCTCAGAATATGTATAGGAACATCAAATATTTTTAAAAAAACGACTGCAATCTCATTCAATATGGTTTAACAGACAATTTCAAGTGTTAAAGATAATAGCTAGAGAAATAACTCAGAAGATGACAACATTCACATTTTGCTATATTTGAATGGAATTTACATTTAAAAATCGTCAATGTTATTTTTTAGTTCGGTGTTCAAAGTTAAATTTTGAGCATAGACAATGAAGTTTAAATTAGTTCCACAGACAATATAAGAGAACAATACACATTGTTATATCTATGTATATCAAATAGTATTATTCTATATATTCTATTACAACCTACTGATTGTTTTTTAGAAGATAGGCCAGCAGGCGCATATGAGGAACGCGCAGAAAAAGCCTGGAAAGAAGGCATGAGAACTCATATGCGAAAAGTGCTTTTACAAACAAAAATGCTTAAGTTAGAAGACTTAGAAGAACAACAAAGACCACTGAAATTGATAGCACAACAACAGAAACGGAAAATGGTATGAACTATATAAATAATAATTGTAATAACTAATAATATAAGTAATATTCATTAGTTAACAAATATCCAAAAATTATAATCAAAATAATGAGAAAAGAGTAATGTGAAAGCAACCTATTGCTTTTTTGTTCCAGAAAGACACCTACAATTGTATACACATTTTTTTGTTTTTTGGATATAATAAGCTCTTTATCACACATGAATGTTTAATTGAATTAATAAGTACACTCTCATAAAAAATATTAAAAAAAATCATCGTACAACATATGTATATAATGCTTTGTTAAGAACCAGTATATTTTCAAGTGAAGTTAAAATATCTCAGAGCAGCATATCCAGAAATGTTCTATTAATATCAATTTTAGAAAGAAATGTTGTGGAAAGAAGAAACTTATTATTACTATTTTTATTAACCTAGTATGTGGTAACTAGGGTTTATACAAAAACCGACATTTCAGAAAACCGATTTTCGAATTTTAATTTTACTAAAAATCCGGTTTTAGCCGGTTTTCGAATTTTATATAGAAAATAAATTTTTGCTCGAATATTCTGTAGTTTATCCGCAAATTTAGTGTGATTTAGAGCAGTATTTGACTGAATTTATTTATTGTTCAATTTTATAGATAGTAAACAAAATTATTTTAATTTGAATTAGTAGAACTAAAAATAATAGTTTATCTTGATTAAATAATTTTGAAAATAATTATTCGTTATTCATGCATCATTTTCACATATAAGTATGAAAATATTTTTATTTTTATGATAGGGAAAGAAAAATAAAAAACATTCACTAAATTAAAAAAAAAAGATACATGTTGATGCATACTTGTTGATATCAATTTTAGTTTTAAAAACAATTAAGCTAAATTCGGGTATTGTCTATTCCGAACAATTTTAATTAATTAATTTTAAACATTCTGATTGTTTTTTTTGTTTAATAAAATATGATTTCAAAAAACTGAGAACGTCTATAGAATTGCTACTTAGGCGTGTCCTTTGTTTACTCACTAAATTTCCTGAAATAGAAAATACTCTCACACTTGCGATCAAATTATGTTTAATTGTTTTTAAAGCCTGATATAATAATTCTAAGTTTTTTGTTCTTTTATTTGTGGCTTCTAGGGTTTAAAACTCTTTTTGTTTAATTTTGAGTAGAGGATGTTACTTCTTCAAGAAGAAGTCACACTGATTTAAATTAATATATACACTGGTATAAAAATCTAAAATAATATATACAAAACCTTTCTGGGAACCATTGCAGACTAATAAGATATCAAATGCTATTGAACTGATTGATTTCGAGAATCAAAATGCTTCCATCTATCTTTTATTATATATTTGGCTATATTTGTCATTTTCTATTTATACAGTGAAAACCGACTTTTTTCACTAAAAAACCGGTTTTTGAATTCCATAATTTTCGCAAAAACCGGTTTTAAAACCGGTTTTTGAAAACCGACAAACCTTAGTAGTAACCTAAAAGTCAATTAATCATTAAACAAATTCTTATTGCATTTATAATAATAGCTTATTATTATCAATCTGTAGCAAAAACAGAAGGCGCGATTTGCACAAGCTGATACGATCTATGAGGAGCAACTCGCAATTTTGTTCCCCGACGAAAAACGTGAAGAGATGGCAAAGAAATCATCGCATGTGCCGAGTGAACAACATAGTGTACCGTCTGAGGGTAAAGATTTGCTCCTTGCAGACGAAGGAGCTTCGGGTGATGCTCAAGCTATTGACAGCAAACATCTTGAAGACTATGCTGTGTGCGAGGAAAATTTAAAAGATTACGTCGAAAATAGACCGTATATATACGTATTTAATTGGAAAAGTATGCTTGAGGTACGGATAATTATATACTTTTCCTACAGAGGTCAATAGAAACAATTTGGCTTTCAAAGCCTATCAGTATATGTCTACAATAATTATAGTTCTATAAAAAGGCAGAGCTGTAGTGCTAGTTTTCCTATTATTAACTTTTCGCGCAAGTAGTAAATATGATGCATTTTCTTCATTTCGTTTTTAAATTGTTAGGGTAATAAAAAGAAAAGAAATACTCTTTAGATTATTTTATATATCATTTATTATTTTACGTCGGCTGTCTCTAAGTCGACCAATTTTCAAAATTGTAAAATTACAAGATGTCTTAATTCTTGAAATGGGGCCGTTCAAGATTTATGTCAAATTTTATTTGGGTAGATTTTGCTTACTTTTGTGACAGGGAGGGGGGTTAAATAATTGTAATAAATCTGCTTACTTAATACTTGAACGATCCCAATCTTGTGGCAATTGTGCCATAATTTTTGACTGTGGTCGTAAAAATATTATTCAACGTTACTGTTTCGAAGTTCATTTAAACAAAATTTATGAAATTTAATCTCAATTAACAAAAAAAATGGTGACAGTTACACCAAAAGCTCCAGGTTGCATTTGAACGCTCATAATTTTCAAGGAGAATTTTTTTTTCAATATAGTGACGATCAATATTATCACATCGTTTCAGCTTGACGTTGAGTTCTCGGACACGCTATATAAGATTTTTGCATTTTTGAAAATAATTGATAGTTTCTAAAATATATTTTCTAGTTGCCAAGCAATTGAAACGGTAAAAATTTCTTGCCTTAAAGTACTTAATTTCATAATGATAATAATGTTTCATATATAATCAAACAATATTTTGAAAAAAATCTTGCTACTAAATTTTGAAATCCGAATAGAGAGGAAACAATAGCAAATTTATATATTTGTTGTGTTAACTTATTATCCATCAAAATAATTATATAAACTTATATTCATAACTCCCTATAGGAGGGTAAAGAACGTCGTCTGTTGAGCGATCAAGCGCTGTACAAACGTCAGATAGCACGTCAACAGCGCTACGAAAATCGAGTGAAAATGCGATCCGAGCTTCCTCAGAGTTCTTCCAGCACCGAATTCGACGAACACAAAATAAGAGAAATGATGGGTTTGCCAATTTATCCCGAGCCAGAAGAGTATGAAGACGAAGACGAAGATTCTGTAGGAACTCTTTCGACTTCAACAGATGATTTGATAGTTGACCAACCAGTAGTGGTGGAACAAGAAAAACCAGCCAAGAAAGGCAAAAAGGGCGCGAAGAAGGAAGCCGATGACAAAAAAGGCAAAAAAGGAAAGGGAAAAAAGAAATAGGATATAATAATATGATGATAATAATAATATAATTAGAAGACGATAAACATTTTGTATATTTTTATATGCAACAATAAATCAACTCTGTTGTTATCGATGAAGTTGTGCTGATTTCAGAAGTACAATATACAATTTAAAAGTAATTCAAATTCATAGTAGTAGCTTATTCACAATTCTAAATTACATCGTGCCCGTAGTATTTACTTTCACAAAACAATACTTTAACTTTATATTCGAACAACATATATAATAAATACTTTAAAACGCTTACCTTGGTCATTTGTAGGATTTGTTTGATTTTCTTCGAAAAGCCTTCTCAACTCCATTTCTTCTTCCTCAGACCAAGCTGCAGTTTTTCCTTTACTAATATGTAAATTGTCATTGGTATAGTGTCAAGCAATATGTTATTGATCTATATTTAATCTAGATACTTACGCCTGAGGGTCATGTTCATAATTGTTTTCTAGAGCATAAGAATCTTTCACTGATTTCCAGAATAAAAGTTCTGCAAAAACTTTATTGTTAGTCGCAGCAACTCGCGTAAACTGACGCACAATATAAATAGCCAATTTTCGTAACTCCTAAAAATAATGAGTTAAGGATTAGATTATACTTATTTTTTAGTAAAAGTTTAGGACATTATTTTTTCTTATTTTATATTAGTATTCCAAATATAAACTAGCAAATTAACCAATAAATTATGATTAGGATATTAAAATAGGATACATATGAAAAACAGTATTGGCGAAAAAAAAAAAAAAACAAATAAAAAAAATGAAATCGATTTGGTTTGAGATAAATAATACTGATAATATCATTGGTATTATAAGAACTTGAACTTCCAGAAACTTCATAAATTACGAAAAGAATAACTACCTACTTACCGAATTTAAATAAAATATATGAGCTTATACGTAATGAGATTTCAGGTAATTCCGAACAAATAACTAATTTATCTTTGTACCTCATGCACAGTTCCGGTCGGTGCATTTAAAGCAGCTTGAAAAACTCGAAACAATGAAGCTTGAAATAGCATTCCTGGACATTTGCAAGACCAGGCGATGCGATGTAGTAAGCTACACGCCGCCACCACTGCTCTCGAGGGTAAACTGCCATCTGTCGCCTTTTGTAACAACATCGTACAGGCGCGCACCACTTTCGGATTGCAAAGTCTGTCGAAAGGTGACTCAGTTAGTACTATTTTGAACATTTTCTATAGTAATAGATTTGTCAGAAATATTACTTTATATAGAATAATTTGTATATATGTAGAAAAGAAACTAAACTGAAAGCAATAGAACTTAACTTGACAATGTAACAAAAAATAGCCCGGAATCATTGAAACACTATATTCATACATAGCCTCAAATAATGTCCAAACATTTTATACTTACAATTTGTATTTCTAGGTCCTAAAGGAAAAGCTGTTATTTAAAAGTTAATTTATGCCAATACGATTTTATTGATGGACTTCATTACAGTACTCTGTACAAAGGCATTATTTAATTAATAGCTAAATTTCTGAGGGTAATAAAAAATAGTTATAGTAATTATGAAAGATTTTGCGCTTTATATAGATTTAAACAGATTATATTTATATATACTTCTATTTCAACTTTTCACATACCAGAACACAAAATCAATCTTAATAAAAACAAATAAATATTTACCTTGTTTCATAATCACTGAATTTAAATTGAACTTCAAAAGTTTGTGGTTCATCTGAAAATTGAACAGTAAAATCATGATTAAGGTTTCACATAAGTGAACATAATACATAAAAATAGTTTTAGTTTTATTAAATGGAAAACAGAGCAGCAATCTTTGTTTCATCAAATCGTTTTTTAATTATGCGATAAAGTATATAAATGTTACTTGATATAAAATAATGTAAAATTTTGAGTAAATGTATATAGTACAAATTGATAATTTTTTATAATATATTGTATAATGTATATAATATTGATTTTACCTTCTTCCTCGTTTGAATGTTCCTCATCATCATCTTCTTCTTCTTCTTCCTGCTGCAACACAGGCTCTTCAACAAAAAAATAAATTCATATATCATTTTTAAAAGTAAAATAAAATTAATGATTGAAAAATATAGAAAATTGCTCATAACAAACAATAATATATTTGCAAAACATGATTTATGATGAGACGCCACATTATGGTTGGCTTCTTATAAAGATAGCAATGTCTGGAATTTAAGCGAAATACACATTTCATAAAGTAAAATAAAAAAAGCATAATAATAATATATTATGATAATGGGGTGTAATGTTTCGACTCACAAGATATTTCCCTTGCAATAATTCTCTCGACGTGTATGCAAATATAAAAAGACGTAATATAAGTATCATAATAGGAAAAATTCCTTATAAACATGGTGATTGCATCTGGTTTTCGTCATTTACGTCTAAGCATGTATGAATAAAATAGAATTCCTCTGTTTTCCCGCATAGAAGCCATTGGCTTCATAACACGAGCGAAACCGACTCTAACAAATTAGATTACAACAGACAGAAATGGTTATAATCTTCTGTAGTCTAGATGCACGATACGTATGCTCCAGTACAAGGGAAAATGAAAGAAATTGCACGAGATTTCAGAATATTATCAAGATGAATGAGTTTAATAAAACAAATAGTAATGAACTTACCTATAAGTAAAATCATGTTGTAATTGAAGCGCATAATTCACTGAACTTAGATTCACTAAGATATTTGGGAGAGAGAGATTCATGATTATTCTAGACTAATTAAATACAGAACTAGTGGTGTATGGCATCATGCCTTAAGCAAATTGCTGGTACTTCCCATACCAATAATTTGATTATTTAAAAGATTTTTCTGTTAAACTTTGAAAAAAATAGTTTTTTGAGAAATTTTACATTTTTGAAAAACAACTGAATTTTTGGAAAAAAAACTTGGAAAAAATGTTTTTTTTATTTTGAAATATCTTGGAAATATTGAACTTTTTTCAAAGCAATCGCACTGGTTTAGCTGCATAGAGACAAAATATCGAAGCGCGTAAGCGCCGTGTTGCCGTCTAGCGGACAAATAATGTTACGAAACCCATAGAAAGTTAAACAAAATTGATACACATTATTCAAATCTTCATAAAATATCCGACAATTTTATGTGCATGAGTCTAATGATCATTTTTGACCGCCAAATAGCATTCTTTTTAATTTTTTTTACTAGATCTCCGAAACCGCTGGACATGCATTTCCAAAAATTTAATCAGCTCTTTATTTCGTCAATACAAATAAAATGTTTTTTAAATTATTAGAATCGGACGCTCTGCTCACTTAAAAACAGAGTTCGTTTTTGGCACTTTTCGCCCCGGATCTTTGGAACGGCTAGACCTGCTTTTGCCAAAAACTAACTAATCAGCACGTCTCCTTAACAATACGATTGGTGTTCCCGTCACACACACACGCACACACACCCATACATCCATTTTTTCTATAGTATGCCAAAATGTTCAGAAACCTTTGAAACGTAATAACGATATATACGATATATAAAAATTTTCATTTTCGATTTTTTTGCGATTACTATAACTTACCCTACGGGAAATTAAAAGATTAATAGGACAAACGCTTCAAAATAAAAGTGAAATCGATCCATAAACTTCATATCGCATTATTTTGCATTCAATTTGCTACTACTTTTCATTCAATTAAAGTTAGCTAAAGCTGGTTATTTTTAACCATTTTAAAGCTGGTCAAATATAATAACATTTATCCCATAAAGAACATACAATATTGGAGCACTGCTTTGTTCTAATCATTAAAGAATTTGAGGTGATACATAAAAAAAATAAAAATTTCAAATAAACGTTCCTAGAGCAAGTGAAGGGCTTACTATTTATATAATGTTTCAATACAAGCGTAGTTGAAATAAATCAATACCAGTCATTACCAAAAATTTTCGTATATGCATAACTAATACTTTATATTCGACTTGATTACCATGCTTAAAAGGGTCAAAATATAAAGAGCATTCAAATCAATACGATAATAAGGGTCTTATATTCAAACAATATCATATTTCGTAATAAGCTGCCCGAAGGGACAATGGGTCCAATCGATGTGTCAACCGTAAAGCTAATAATTGAACGCAGAATAGCCCGCCATCGCGTTCGTCCGCCTGGAAAGGACGCCCACTCCGGTCGTGGGTTTCGAAATGGATCCATTACGATACTGTACTCTTTAGCGACAATGAGTATTGATGCTGAGGGCACCATAAGCTGCAGAATTGGTATGTACATAATATGCTTTGTTCATCTAACCATGTAGCCCCTTGTATTGTGTATCGAGTCACTTGGGAATTTCGTTATTTGCCTACGCGATCTGTTTACTCAAAACACAGTAGAGGAGTTGAGTATTGGTCTTTTACGAGAGAATGAATTGATCTTAAATGTCCCCGATTGGCAAGACGATTCACGTTGAAATGGTTAAAACTAGAAATATTGAAAAATTATTGTATAATAAAATATCTGAAAATTGGTTTAAGAAGTAAACCTGACCAACGAAGAATTCATTCGGTAGTAATCAAATCAAAATAATATAATTAACAACAGGCTAACGCTAAAGCAGTTGTGCAAATATATATTTAAAACTAAAATTTAGAAATAATGAGATAAAATTTTAAAATTGCCACGATTTCATGATTCATTTTATTAACTTGTATTAATACCACATTGATCACCATATCAGTCATATATGTCTGCCGCCAATAAGTTCTACATTAGTCTCTGATATTCCTGATCTGGTAGATCCACGATTTCCTGACATCTGGCCACGTTAATGGCAGATGTCAGGCCCAAACGATACATGTATGCTGCGGAAGTGGCCTAACAGGTACTAAACTTAAAAATTCTTAGCTCACATAAAAACAAAAAAAGCAGCAAATAATGATCAAAATGAAAGAATTTGATTGGCTACTGCGTAAAAAGTCTAAGCTCTCTGTTGAAAATAAGTTGCTGCTATATAAATCAATCATTAAACCAATCTGGACTTACGGAATTGAGCTCTGGGGTTGTGCTTACAAATCTAACATAGCTATAATGCAGAGAACTCAGTCAAAAATTTTAAGTACAATACTTAATTCTCCGTGGTACGTTACAAATGAAACCATTCACAGTGATCTCAACATGAAAACGGTGCAATTAACGTTCAAAGAATTAGGAAAAATGCAAACGTAGACTGGAATCACATTCAAACCCATCAATAGGCGACATTATCCAACCATTTAGTGTTAGAAAATTGGAACGTCAATGGCCTTTAGATTTAGGCTTCTTAGATTAGCTTCAATATATCATTATCTTTATAATTGTTAAACTAAAAAGATCTCATTGGAGCTCTTCTTAGACATCGCTCTTAAAGAGTTAAAAAAAAAGAAAAAAAAATAAGACTGACAGGGCTTGTCGAGAAAAAAATTTAATATAGGGTCATGTCAGTATGTATGACATAAAAAAATGTGTTTTTTCACGCACTTTTGCCATTTTTTCGGTACATTAGGTTTTCTTAATGCATTTTTTAAGTCGCCATGACCCATGTGAATTTTTTCTGATATTATCGTGTAAATTAACGTGCTAATTTAATTTCCGAGGGCCCCTTGACTTTTGGTTTAGCTAACAGTCGGCCATTACGTTCGACACACGTTTATATATTAATAATGCCATTACATCATACCGTTTATCGCTATTGATTCACAGAATGCCGTAATGTATGCACAGGCTGCCTATGATATTATTGGATCTTGTTTGCTTATTTGCATGTTGCTTATTAATAGCGACTAATTACGTATGCTACGGGTGCTAATTCCCTTTTCATGACATCGCACTGACTGTTGACCTGATGTGAGATAAATTATAACATGGCTTATGAAATTATTAAATGGCGACAAGTTAATATTGTGGAATTGATAATTTGAGAAAAGAAGATAATAAGGCTATCATCGACCATTTCTGATCATTATTTTTCAGAAACCTAATAATTTAGGAGCACGGTTTATATTTAAAATCTTTACGTTTCTTTTTAGGCATGATATTATTCATATAAAATAGTTGAAAATCTATGATTTTTATTTACTTTGTTATATACTTTAATTAAAAGTTACTGTATAAGAACACGAAATATGTATGATATATCGTATATTAAAATGTAATATAGACAATTTCGTTCTTTATCATGAAAAAAACTCGTTTCCAAAGTAAGAAATTAAGTAACTTGAATTGGTAAACTTTACCGTACGTTGCGCAGTAAATACAATACTTAAAACTTAAATAAAATAAAATAATATTTTTATAAGAGTGTAATATGGTTAAAATAAGGCTGATTGAACAGATCTTACATTTTTCTTAGGCCCAGAGTGTTTTTAGATGCATATACGACTAAAAATTTATTAAGCAAAATTTCATCAAAATGCTTAATTGATTTTTTAATTTTAATCATTAACGTTCAATTCTTTTTGATGTATGAGCTAGAACAGAACCACATTTTTATCTTCATTATTAGTAAAAAATGAAATATGATATTTAGAAGAACAGAAACAAAAAAATAGCGCGCAGAATGATGAGACTTTTCACCAGCCCTATAACGATATTCAGAATATCGATACGATACGATATTACTCCATGGACATTGATAATTTAAAGGGTGAGGAAAACATATTTCTTTCCAAACAAACTAATAAAAGTTAAAATCGAATTAAGTAAACTACACTTTGTTTAAAGGAGCAATAAGTTTATTCCAATTTTTTTGGTATTTTACCAAGTATTGATAATTTTTTTTGAGATGATGCATAAGCCTTATTTGTGTAACCTTGCCAAATTGACAAATATCAATATTTTTATTTTTGTTAGGCTTTTCAATATGCAATACAATGAAAATCACATAATTCATTAATATCATAAAAATTATTTAAATAGAATTTCTTATGTTTCATTTGCATATAGGCTCATAATCACTGATATTTGATCCCCTAATTTTGTTGGCTGGAAAACAAAAATTCGGCACATGAAAGG